GAATTAATTTCACTCATCGGCAGACGTGTAGAGTATGTTTGAGGTAGTCAACCAACTTCTGGGATGCTTCATTAAGATCGCAAGGTAAGATGCATAAAAAAGTGACTATGCTTGCAGCTGATTTGGTAGACTTTTGCTCTATTTCGTAAAGTGTGGATTCTTGCTCTGATGATATCGGTTGGGGAGACTTTCGTTTCTCATGAAAGTGCATGAATACAAGATTCGAAGGTCGATCGCGCCAGAAGAGGACGCCTGATTCCTGTTGTACTGCAGTCGTTCAGGTTGACGCAAACCACGAGACCTTCTCTTTTGTTTCGGGAGAAGACTGGCTGAGTTTTCATCCATCATTTGACGGACCCCAACAATGTTATCTCAGAAGATTCATCGAAACCCACTTACTCTTCATATCTGATGCTGTCTGTCAAGGCGATACAGACAAGAGCTTAGCACAATTTCATCGAGGTCGCAGGACGACAAGCTGAGAACTTCTTCGCACAATCCAACAGTCATCACTCCGCGACCATCATACTTCGGTTTCCAGGGAGACCAATTCACCAATTTTATCATACCAACTTTTCCTTCGAAATGTAAAGTCATCTAACAATATATCACTAAAGCAGTCTTAGAAACCCAGTCTTTCTTTATGGTTCAGATGAGTCGGAAGCATGTGAATATTAAGATTGTCGAGAGAACGAGAAAGTGAGAGAGAGAGTAAAAAGGAAGAAGAGTCTGAATAGACCGAAGAGAGGGAAGGAGAGGGCGACCAGACATGCAAAGTGGGGAAGTAAATATGGAGGAAAGAAGACAGAGAACCACAGGCATCCAGACATAAACAATCGCTTGACACTCCGATGTGGGATGACTTAACCGTGTGTGTGTGTAAAGGCTCAAGCTAACGGGTAGATGCAGACGCCTGATAAGGCTGACCGAACGCATTTGAAGAGATAAAAATAAGCGTAAACTTGGACTGGCTGGATGGGAAACAAGAGGAAATTGCGCTTGCGTAACTTGACGTTTCAATGACAACAACGATTGTGCCGAAGAGGAGGCTTGAGATGCACCCGGGCAAGCGATTCATGCTGTCTCTGGCCTAGGTTGAAGGTAAAACAGGATAGTTCCCGACTGCTGGTATGTCCAGATCTTGGCACATTTCAGACTGAACAGGGAGGATGAACCGAGAAGCCGAGGCAAGAACTGTTGGGGTTCTTTGGTGGAGGAGACTCCTTTGCGAAGTTAGAGTCGCATGTGTCCTTTTGTCGTGTGGAAAGGTCGGTGTCTGATCGCGCAAATCGACTAATCGGATCACATCCGGGCTGCTGATAAGATATTGGGGCGGACTAATGAGCAACAAACGTCTGCAGAGTGTGTAGATTACACAAAATGCAAAAGACTGTGTTAGTGACAAACCGGCCCCCACCATTTGGGGACAGTAATGCCGAAAGGATACACATTGTTTGTAGTTATAATTGAACTTTTTATTTCAACTGAAAACTAAGTTAGAAGAGCTTCACTGGAAATTACGAAAAGACCACGGAGCATCGTTTCGCGACCATGATCTATCCTTGCTGAGTTTTGAGTCAGTCTCGCCGTGACAAACAGCGTCATAACATGAAGACATGGTATTAATAAACTTCACCCAAGACCGATTTTACACATCTACAAACCAGTAGGGAGAAGAGGGAGGTAGTCAACACAAGTATGGGATCATAAATGTGAGGACTCAGATTATGATTTTGTATCGGTCTTCCTTTGATGTTTGAATCTAGCTTGACCTCAGTTTTGTGATTTAGTCTAGAATTCAGGGAGACGTCGCAGAACGTACCCTTCACTGTCAGGTCTTCTTCCTGTATCAGTCTGTTCACCAGGTACATTGACAGATGCTTTGCCAGCCGGAAGAAGGAGGACCACACAACTGCTCATTTGATGTATTCACTTTCCTTAAAGGATATCTGCCTTTTGGCTCCGACGATGTCGGCCCTTGCAGGAAAGACGAACTCCAACCTTAGATGAATCTTGGAGGCAGGTGTATGCGGACAAACACATCAGCTGCTCCAAATACTAGACGATCTTCCATGGGTTTCAAAAAAAGGCCAATTTATGAATTTTTATTGAATTTCTTGGCGTATCATGTGCCCGAAAAGGGGCTACAAGTTCGAGTTCGTTCTGGCACCGTTGGCATCCCAGGGGTCGATATTGAGACATGGCTAAACGGAGATAGGAGTACAGTGTTTCCTAGGCTACCAGGTATAAACACCGGCCCCTTACGATTAGCAAAAAATGATTATAAATGAATTCTAGTACGTTGTGTCTCCCCGCGACTCCTCATACAAATATAAAAAATCCCCAAGGGGTGCTAATCAAACCTACTTTTCAAGTCGCTAAGGCAAGTTTAACTATCAAAATATGAATAAAAACTAGATTTAGAAGAATTCCTAAATGAAATATTATGGATTGACTCTCCATTTCGAAGGGAAAGTTGGTTGGAAGGGATTACTGATGTGGTCTCACCGTAAACGGAAGGAGGATTGTCGCGTAGGGAAGACTGTTGAATTGCGCGAAGAACTCATCGACACACCGTCCTGCGGCCCCGATGAAACTGTGCTAAGCTTTCGTCTGTACCATCG